GTGTCATGGGATGAAATAAGAACACGAGGAAGTAAGTAATTTTTTTATTGACGGCAGTATGTTTTTTGTTTGAATTGGTTGGAAACCATTGCAACCGCAATGGCTCACCTCGCGCTTCTGGAACAGCAGATTGAGGCTGTTGAGCTCCTCGTGCACGTCGGCGAGGAAGTACAGGAAAAAGTGAAACTTGTACGATGTGACGATGTGGTACATGGGTTTGTCGTAGAGGTGCAGCAGAACGATGACGGCAGGAAGCACCGCCACCAGCCTCAGAATGGCGCCGCCACGACTGAGCCACCGAACAAGGTGAATCCCTTGCATCTCCAGATTTGTCGCCGTGAAGATCTTTTGGAGGTCCTTGAACATCTTGTGCCAGTTGTGTGAACGCCCCAGCAGCTCAGCAACCGCGCGGATGATGGCATCCACAATTCCCAGCTCAGGCAGCGCGTTGGCAGCATCTCTGGCCGCGAGGGCTTCCCTGGATGGACGGGAGTAGAAACACGACGAAACAGTGGTTAGTGCACGGTTTTCTCAACGGGATATGAAGTCTATGCATGAACGAACCGATGCGCTATGCAGTGGACAGAAACCACATGCGGGATCCGCTGTCGAAGGCGCCCAACGACCCCGTTCGTGGCTCCAACCATCACTGCGGCACCGTCGGTGCTGATGCCCGACACCTTTGAGAGACTGATGCCGATGCTATCGAGGTAAGCAACAAGAGAGCCTTCCAGAGAAGCTGCATCACATTTGTCGACAGGAAGAAGCGTTAGAAACTCTGTGACAACAATGCGCTCGCGAAGGAAAGTAGCAAACACAATCATGTGCTTGCCACGAACTCTGTCGGTACTCTCGTCACAGCTCAAGCCAATGAACGGGCTTGACTCCAAGTGCTCCCGTTGACGAGCTCGAAGGTACATGGCTGTCGACTTGGTTAACTCCTGAAAGCCATACCTGCGCAAACCATGCAGGGAGATTAGTACATGCGAGAGATCAACACATGTTAAATAGTAAACGAATAAAACACCCAAGGACTTACGTTGTGAAGTAAGACCCGTAGCCTCGTTTGGGAAAACCAGGAGTACGTCGCTTTGAGAGGTGCCGCACAAGTTGCACCCACATCTCGATGGGCGCGTCGGACTGACAGATGAAAAGCAGAGTCTCCAGCAGTGCAGTAACACGCTCGCTCTGGACGGTATGTGTTTTCGCCAAGTCCTCCATGCGCAGCTGCCCCTCAGCGATCGCAGTGGCGGTGGCTTGTCTCCGCATCGCTCTCTTGTGCTTCCGCGTGCGCTGGTGGTTTTGCATCGCCTGCGTCTGGACGTCGGTCGCACCTTCTCCGCCCTTGCCGTAGTTCGTTCCGTGCCCGCCATGTTCCATGCAAGTCTTACACTTCAAAGCCGGGAATCCTGCACGGGTCTGATTAAGCACAAGCCAAGGAAAGTCAGTACTCCACCGCTTTTTAAATTGCCAGAGAGCCTCCTGGTACTTTCGTTCGGCCACGTCTTCAAGTTCGGTGTCCGATGACGAAGTCGGAGCTGTAGATGGTCCTGAAACAACAGGAGGGACGACGTGCAGAGTCGGAGCGGGAGTGTTTTGCGACCGCCCGAAACTCAGGGTTGCCTGCCGATAGCGTGAGGGCTCGAGCTTCTTCGACGGCGGTCCAATACGGGTCGACCCTTGATTAAAAGAAGTGCGGGGCGTAGTGCTTCGCTGAGGTGGTGTTGCTACAACATGGCGAGATGCCTCCTCTACTACTTCAGCGGTGTGCGTTCGAGGGGGAGGTGCCGATGCGGGAGGATTTCTTCGCAGTAAGTCTAATCCTGTCACGGCACCCGGGTGGGACGCTGTAGAAGGATCGTCGGGAGCCTCCTCCTCGTCGTCAGATCCTGGCGCAAGCATAGTGCCCCCTAACGAGGGGGCGGTTCACAGCAGAGAAACAGACCAGCGAGCACAAGCTCTATCGTCTAGAATGGTTGGATGATTCAAGGCATGAAAGGGAGCTGTGGGGAGGAAGGACCATGAGCGATGGCTGCGCGGGAGTTTGGTCCTCCCCACATGGAGTGGTTGGCCGTCCAACCATCCATGCATGCAATGCTGCGTCAGCGAGTGGACCGCAGCACCCCAACACCTTCTGAGGCCTGGCTGTGGTGCGCTGCGCTGGCTGTATACTTAGCCGCTATTGGCCAGAATTACAGGATTTGCAGTGCACGCGGCAAACTGGTCATTTCGCGGCAACAATCTACAGGCAAAATGTGCGCTGGCACGAAAATTATGGAACTATGGGCAGAAAACAGGGGGTACACCCGTAGCGCCCCCCCTGAAGCCAGATTCGAGGTATCAGGGTTATCCTCGAATTCATACTGAGCAGTCAGGGCTGGTACACGAACACTATACTGAGTTCTCAGGGTTGTCATATGATAACCATACTGAATTTACAGGGTCAGAAATTCATTTAATCGGATTTTTCAGGTCTGGCACCTCATACTCATCCTGAAAATCAGGAATTCAGGATAAAACATCCTGATATCTGAGGCCCTGATCATAACAGAATTCATGTGGGGTGCAAGAAGTGTGCCTCCAAAAATCCCTTGCTTGATTCGGCTGCGATACAGTATTCAGGTTCCAGCTTGTCATTTCCGTCTGACCTGGTCCCAGCAAGCTTTCAAAAGCAATTGCTCGTGGTCACCACCAGACACCAGCAATGTGGATTCCCGCCAGCGAGGCACTGTCTTACCGAAACACCGTTGACCTCGTGGGAAAACTGACAGCAATTACGGTACAAAGGGCAATCCGATTGCTGAAACGCCGTTGACTTGGCTAACTGGGCCACGCCACGAGGGAAAGGGAAGCATGAGAAAAATCCCCCGTGTGTATGGGCTCACACCACACTGGCGCGTCACATCAGCTCTCCACACCACAACACCAAGCCCCGGCAGAATTGCGCGGCTGAGAGAGTCCGCGTCCTCAATTAACATTTTCTACCCATTTTTCTCACGGTCCGGACAACCCCGAACTCGGATAAACATTTCCTCGCGCGAGTCGGGAAATGTGAAAGTTATGGAATTTGAAATTGTGTGAACTGTATTTGGGATTTAGTAGTTGCCCGTGAATTACTAGCTGGTTCAACCTCGCAAGGTTTTGTCCAGCCCCACGCGCAGTTTTACGAAATCTTGTTAGGTTTAGTGGAGCTTGTCCAAGAAAACGCTATCGTTAAAAACCCCATTGTCTTCACATTTTAGGGCTTTCGCATTTGAATGTGGGTACTTAAAAAAACCCGCACGCAGCTTGGAGTTCGTGAAATGTGGTAGTTTTGGAGGAGCTCACATTTCAATGCGTTTTGCTGGAAAATAATATATCGGACAGGATCCTATGAATTTCTGCCGACTGTCTAAAAACTTTGGCACATATTGAGAATTTTTTTTGGCTGACACTGTGGAATCTTGATGGATGCAAACGAGTTTGTGGATTCTCATAAAAACTAATGCCCCTAAGCTCAACTTGCGTCACTAGCTAAATACCACTCGTAACTGGATAGCCTTTTTATCATTTCGGGCCATCATTTTGGGTAAGGGAAACATGAGAGTTCGTGGATTTTCACGAGAACTCGTGCAAAATAACCTCAATTCGCGCCACTACCTTAAATGTACAGCCACGTCATTATTTAGCGCCAAGTGTTATACATGCCATATGCCTTATAGACGACCTTCTTTTATGCCCAAGAGTATCCCATAGGCATTTTATCCTTAAGGGCCTCTCCTTGTTCGCAAAGTGTACCCGTCTCAACTGAACGGTAAATTAGACAGTCAATTCGGATGATCCAAGGCCGTCCAATCAGTTTGCTCTCGTATTTTCAGAGCGACCACTCCTAGTGGTCGACGAGCCTCTAAAAATCTAAATGTGTCAGGCTCGCCAACCAATGTCGAGGCATAAATCCACCAGCTCGCTGACGGTCCAATAGAATTATGCCTGCAACGCCAACGGAATCCGTCGGCGTTGCCCCAGGAAAATCCGTCTATCTACAGCCAATATGAGCACGTCAAGGAATCTAACATTCTCTTGAAACCAGGCCTCTAGAAGTCAGGGTATTTACACTGTTTTATCAAGGAAAACAGGGTAAAATTTCGACGGCCGATGTTTGAGTAGGGGATGGACTCACCCTGAAAAATCTAATGTAGAAGTTTACAACCCTAGAAAAAATGGCTCCCCTGTCATTGTCAGGAGTGGCACATTCCGAGCAGGGCGAAACTCATGACTGCAAAAACAGTCAAAAGTTTTAGGTGTACCCAGTCTAGAAGAGTTGGATCCCATGCAAACTCGGATTCTGCATGGTGACCCCTAGGTTATCGAGAGACCTGCTTGAAACGCGGAGTTGATACACAGGTGGAGAGGCTTGCGACATGGCAATGTTTACAAAGTCGCTGCATACGCCAGTCAAGCCGCCCATGCATAGTACACAAAAATCAACGCCCCATTTTATGAGAAAACCCCATAGTCTACGTTGCCCTTATCATACGGCTAGTATTAGTTAAACGGGAAATCTTTCGCGTCGCCCCCCTAGTGCTCAGGGAATATGATCTGTATGGCGAACACTGAAATGTACGTATTGTTTCAGCGGATTCGATACAGTTTGGCGACAACTTGCCCGCCAGATCCTTTACAACTCTCAACTGTTAGAAACGCGGGTGGTGAAAAACTGTCAAAGCTGCCCAAAAGACCTCACGTAATCAAAACGCATTTCCCGACTCACGCATAGAAATGTTTTATCCGAGTTCGGGGTTGCCCGGGCATTGAGCAAAACGGGTAGAAAATGTTAATTGAGGACGCGGTCTCTCCGAGCCGCGCAATTCTGCCCCAAGCCCCACGGCTGCCTGCGACGCGCACTCGTTCCCCTTCCCTCTCCACCCCACCCATTTTCCCCCCTTCCCCCCCCCCCGCACCCACTGCCAACAATTCAGCATGTAATTTCCCGCCATTCCATCCCTCCTTACCACTCCTATCTCGCTTCTTCACTCGCCGTATTTCTTGCACCCTCGGCTCCAGCTCCCATCACTATCGTAATCTTCTCTTTCAATAACTTAGTAGCTCTACGGGTAGTGCATCTCTTCACGCAGAACCTTCACATCTCTCGCCGTTCACCTCTCGTATAAGAAACTCCTCAAGATCACTGTCGACTTCGTCCGTCCTCGATTAGACAACTTCTTGAAGAAGGCAGCGACTTCAAGTTGGAATGGCGCAGCAGCAAGCTCCGAACATGCAGAACATGGCACCAGCGGGAGCGTACGTCGCTCCGCCACCCCCTTACGCCGCGGCAGCGCCAGCGCCAACGCCCGCAAGCGCCCCTGACGGGTGCTGCGCCAACAACAAGCGCTCCGCGCTGTACACGTGGCTCCCTCTCAGCCTTCGCATCGGAATCTTCCTGTGGTGCCTCATCGCATTCAGGTGAGCCGCTGCGGCTCGCCTTCCTTTCCATCAAAGCTAGCACGTCCTTTATTCTTCTTTTGATTCGACTCAAAAGCTATCACGTCCCTTATTCTTCTTTTGATTCGACTCAAAACCTAGCACGTCCTTTGTTCTTCTTTTGATTCGACTCAAAAGCTAGCACGTCCTTTATCTCTTCTTTTGATTCTAATCAAAAGCTAGCACGTCCTTTATTCTTCTTTTGATTCGACTCAAAAACTAGAACTTCCTTTATTCTTCTTTTGATTCGACTATAAAGCTAGTCCTTTATTCTTACCGTAGTCTCACCATCTCTCCTGCTGACTCCATGTCTTCTTCCGTTCTTCCGCCCCATACAATCGCAGCCTGTGCTTTGCCGTCAAGGGATCAGTGACCGTGACGGCGTACGGCGCGGGAGCGTACCTGGTGGCAATGACGATCCTCGGGTTCATATTCGCCGTACTGTTCATCATCTACAACGTCGCGCGCATCTTTGTCGCGGGCTCAGAGGTCTACGACGCCAAAATGGACCTCACCCAGCTCTTTGAGACCTATGTAAGTAGAAAATATTCGATTTCATCATGTTAAAAAAAAAATGAAAAAAAAATGCCAGATGATATGAGGCGTGTCAAAGCTTTATGAATCTGTTGGGGGGATTTGTAGGCTATTTTCCTGTTTCTTTCTCTTGTATGTGTTATTTATACCCCTATGTCTCATTCTTTCCGGACCTACTTCCCGCCGTTACTGGACAGATAATGTCAATTTTGCTCTTCGCAGCCGCCACGTCATCCGTAGCTGCGTGTAACTTGTGGTGGACCACTAACGCAGGGACAAGGTATGTTCCAGTTTCGCTATATGCTCAGTAACATCTCGACTTCCAAACTGTTGCCCCTCTTCCTAGGATTAACTTATCTAGCACACGGGTCCTTTCAGTGAGTCAGAAGGAACCATTAGGGGAAAGTAGGGATACATTGATGCACAGGAATCTTGCTCGGCATGATTTTTCCAAGCCTGCATTTGCCTTTGTCCTTCCCCTTTTTGCAGCGTGCCGAATAATACGATGAATGATCCAAATGCAAACAGCTACTACGACCTCGCCAAGGATATAGGAAAAGTTTCGGCCTACTATGACCCTAACACAGAACTCGGAAAAGTTTCGGGCTACTATGACCCTAACACGGAACTCGGAAAATTTCGGGGCTACTACGACCCTGAAGCGGAACTCGGAAAAGTTCGGGGAGCGGCTGCCATGGCGTATTTGGCGTCCTTCACCTACATCGCACTCTACTGGTACTACAACGTCCGCCTGTTCAAGCGTGTGGTCCTCAAGGCTAGCTTGGAAGCGGCAGCACCCACAGCCCAGGCAGCCAAGGACAACGTCCCTCCTTACAATGTGTGAAGGGTGAAGGCTTGCAAGTTGCACTGCATATGGAAGTCGGCCAATGGGATACGCCCCTGCTCAGTGTGTGAAGCCTGCAGGGTTTCTAGTCTCTTTGTCTGGTGTACTGTAGTCTAGGACAAATGAGGTTGTTAATTTGTGATTGCTTGTTGCTCATCTATGCTAGCAAGGTGGGGTCTGTGTGCTGTGTATGTTTGGGTCTCTTTTGATTAAACAACAAATATACAGTACTACCGTATCCTTTCCCACAACGAGGATGGGGAACGTGTGCCCTTGCTCTACAGTAAGACATGATGATCTATAGCATTGGTTGCGAGACATTGCGCCAAACGTGCTCCAAGCTCCAAGCTCCTCCCCTGGTATGAACAAACTGCTGCGGGCACTCAGCAGTGTCAAAGTAGCTAGCTAGGAGTAAAAGCCATGGAATGACGTGAGGTTTAGGAATAGAAGAGAGAGGGATACAAGCAGGCCTCATATTGATCAGTGTCGATCTAAAAAAACACCATGAAAATCAGTTTTTGGTAGTGATTTTGTTACTGGTTGACCCTGGTTCTTTCGTTTTCAAGGCTGATTCATCAGGGTCGGTAGCAAAATCAGCGTAAAAAGCCTGATAACTATGGGCCTGGATACAAGAAGGGGGGTTGTACCCTCTGTCAACATATACATATGTTAGTTTGTAGAAGTTATAGGCTAGATAGGTGTTTGTTCTTAGAGAGTACAACTCCAACCCTATACCTTGCTTGTTCTCTCTTGTTTCTAATCATTCTAGTATCTTAACATCCTCTACAGTAGAATCTAGTGGTAACACCTACCAAGCATACAATTATATGTAAGATATAATTTAACACACCCCCTAGGCTTGGTAGTTGAAAGCCCACCACACACACAGCACACTAAGCCTCACACCCCCTAGCACCCCCATACTCAGCAGCAGTGATGGCTACTTCAGCAGGGTCAGCCCATCGGCGTATGAGGCGGCTACGTCGACAGCGAGGGCAGCGGCTGCAACGGCGGCGACGGCGGCAGCGTCGACAGCGGCGGCGGCGGCGGCGGCGTGGCCACCAGCACTAGTTGCGGCGGCGGCGGCTTCGACGACAGCTGCCGGCGGCGGCGGAGCTCGCAGCACTCAGCGGCGTGCCCGGGCTCCGCGACGGTGGGACGGCCGGCGCGAGTCAGCCGTCGGCTGCGGCGAAGAAGAGGGGACACAGGGGAAGGGGGGCAGGGCTTCAGCTGCGAAGCCCGGGAGCGTGCCGCCCCGTGTGGCGCGCTGGCTGCATGCGGGCGTGCTGGCGATCGTTAAGACGTGGCGCTGGCCGCTGCCGTTGGTGCCGTCTGCGCGCTGGCAGCATGCCGCCACGGCAGCACGACAACGCCGTCACGCCGCCACGGCTTGGCGTCGGTGACGCCGCCACGGCGTGACATCGACGCCACGACAGCGCGACGCCACGGCAGCACGTCGAGACGGCCGCGGCAGCACGACGGGGACAGCGGCACGACGACGCCGCAACAGCAGCACGACGCGGTCGCCATGGCAGCTTGAGCGGGAGAGGAGGAGTGCGCGGCGGAAGCGTGATAAGCAGGTCCAGGAAGAGCAACCTGCTCTGAAACCATGTCAGAGTAGCTAGCTAGGAGTAGACGCCATGGAATGACGTGAGGTTTAGGAAGGAGAAATTATCGAGAGAGAAGAGAGTTAGGAATAGAAGAGAGAAGGATACAAGAAGGGGGATTGTACCCTCTACAGTAAAATCTAGTAACACCTATCAAGCCTACAAATATATATTAGATATAATTTAACAAGCAGCTCCCCCCCAAGCCCGTGCATGTGCATCCTCTTGATGTTAAATTATATTTGTTTGTTATATACAATTGTAGGCTTGGTAGCTGTTACCGAAACCTATTGTAGAGGGTACAACCCCCTCCTTGTATCCCTCTCTTTTCTATTCTCGCCACCTTTTCTCTCGTCAACTTTCTCTCTTAGTTCTTAGCTCCTAAACCCTCACGCCATTCCATGGCTTCCTACCGTTCCTAGCTAAATAGCATTCATGACATGGTATCATAGCAAGTTGCCCTTCCTGGGCCTGCTCCCCACGCTTCCACCGCATACTCGTTCGTCGTTCGTCCCTGCCAGGCCGCCGTCGCGGCCATGCCGAGCAGCCGTTGCTGCGTCGCGGTGCTGCCGTTGCAGCCCCGACGCGTGGCGTCGACGCCACACCGCTGCGACGGCGTCGTGCTGCTGTCGCATCATCGACGTCCCGCCGTGGCATCGACGCCGCACTGTGGCGGCATCGTAATGCTGCGGTGGTGGCGTCGTCGGGCGGCAGCCGGCCGCGCGACGCCTGTGACGCCGCTAGACCTGCCGCCCGCACGCCAGCCGCGAGCGTGATGCTGGATCACGCACTGCCCCCCCCCCCCTCTCTCCCCCCCCTCCTTCCCCTGCATCCCCTCCTCGCCACAGCCGACGCCCGACTCGTGGGGGTCCCCATCGACGTGGAGCTTGGACACGCCGCCGAGAGGGCGGGGGCTGCTGCAATCGCCTCTGACGTCGAAGCCGTTGCCGTCGCTGCTGTCGCCGCTGGCCTGTTGCCGCCGCACACCGCCGTCGTCACTGCTGCCGCTGCCGCTGTAGCCATCTCATGGGCCGTGGGATTGGCCCCGCTGGACTAGTCGTGGCTGCTGCTTGGAATTGGGGTGCTAGGTTAGGGGGTGTGGGTGTGTGTGGGTTCTAACTACTACCAAGCCTAGGGGGGTGTGTTAAATTATATATGTTTGTTACATATAATTGTAGGCTTGGTAGCTATTACCAAAACCTACTGTAGAGGGTACAACCCCCTCCTTGTATCCCTCTCTTTTCTATTCTCGCCACCTTTTCTCTCGTCAACTTTCTCTCTTAGTTCTTAGCTCCTAAACCCTCACGCCATTCCATGGCTTCCTACCGTTCCTAGCTACCTAGCATTCATGACACTTAATCCATCTCTCTCTCTCTCTCCCATATTCTTTACCTTCTACCAAAAAAACAATCTAGAGCCTGAAAAGTTTGACAAAGGGAATGTCTAAAGTTGTCCAAGAGTGGGGTTGTTCCTCTCAGAGTAGATTGACTAGAATGTGTGATACAGGGTGTTTTTGTTTAAGTGGTTGTACTCTCTAAGAGTATGCACCTACAGTGGCGGAAAAAATTGCCCGGATGTTTGGCACTTTGAAACATATCGCTATGGCACACTTGTTTCGGAAATAGTAACACCATTTTTTTACCGTCCTGTTACAAGGTTTTCGACTTCTGCTTCAACCGTTTCTTGCTTGGCGCGATTGTGATACAACCGAAAAGCGAGGTTGAAATTTACTCCTCGGCTGTCGATGCGGACAGTTCATACCGAGCGACAGACTAGATCTATTTTCGCCCGTCATTCGGTGTGCACATCGTCACGCGCAGCAGCTGCTAGTCTAGGAGTTAGTCCTAAAGCGAACATACGACCGCATCGCCATGAAGCCGGTAAATGACAAGAAGCACGCGCGAATCATAAGCATGTTGCGTGCGGGGCATTTGACTAGGAAAATAGCCAAAGTTCTTGGTATAGGCAAGAGCACCGTGCACGATTACGGTCTGAAAGTGGCTGCCGAGACAAGCCGCGAGGAGGTGCGACCTACGATGCCAACGGCCGGCCGCCCCTGCTTAGTCACAACCCGACTCCAGCGCGGAATAATACGAGCGATTACAAGCGGCGAGGCGAAAAGCAGTGTAGACGCGGCAAAGATGTTGTTGGAGAGGCATGATCTGGCCGTAGGCGCGAAGACCGTGAGGAAATCGTTACGATCCGCAGGCTTTATCGCCGTGCAGCAGCCCAAGAAACCCAGGTTCTCACCGAAAAACATACGAGATCGTCTCGATTTCGCGAGGTCGCATGCCGACTGGACGCTGGAGGACTGGAAGCGGGTGATTTGGTCTGACGAGACGAAGATAAACCGCTTCTGTTCTGACGGACGTGCGTACGCCTGGATTCGAGAGGGCACCAGCCTTCGGAGCCATCAAGTCCAACCGACAGTTAAGCATGGGGGCGGTTCTGTGATGGTGTGGGGTTGCATGACGTATGAGGGGGCGGGGTTCATGTGCAAGATAGATGGCAGGATGGATGGGCCGCTGTATTGCAGCATCTTGCAAGATGAGCTCAAACAAACGATCGATTTTTTCAAGCTCCCCCCCTCAGAGGTCATTTTCCAGCATGACAATGATCCCAAGCACAGGTCTCGTCTAGTCCAAGACTGGCTTGCGGAGCAGGAGTACGCAGTGCTGGAGTGGCCGTCGTCCTCCCCGGACCTTAACCCGATTGAGCACCTGTGGGCACACTTGAAAAGGCAGCTGGGGAAGTACGAAAAGCCGCCAGGTGGAATGCCGGAGCTGTGGGAGAGGGTGCAGGAGGAATGGGACAAGATATCGGCGGAGGTGTGTGCAAATCTTATCGACAGCATGCCGAGGAGGATCAAGGCAGTGATTCGCGCAAAGGGACGATGGACTAGGTACTAGTTTTCTAAGAATCTAGTTTGCTGCCTGTCTTCGGTACAAATTGTCCGGATGTTCTCTTATGATATGCTTAGCTGTTTAGGGACCATGTGTGGTACTAGTCTGCTGTTTGTCGACTTGAATGAGTGCTCTAACTGAACTTCTCAATGTGTATGCACACCATGAATTAAGGCTTAATGTTTACGCCGCTGCACTCATCAAAATGCCAAAAAAGGCTGAACATGTGGACAATTTTTTCCGCCACTGTATCTAGCCTATAGTAAAATATAAATAAGTATATGTTTGACACACCCCCTAGGCTAGATAAGAGGCAGTGCCGGGCAAGAGACACGTAGCTCAGAGTGGCAATACTACCGTATTAGCTCGGATAGAAGACTCATGGGTCTCATCACATACCGTTTGGAAATAGTCAAAAGGGTCTTATAAACGGGAAACAAATAGGTGGAAGTGGGTCTTATAAACGAAACCATCGTAACTTCACAGGAAAACACCAGGAGTAGTTACACCAGACTTCTGGCAAGCGTTTTCATAGGGAAGGCTATCAAAGAAGCTAGCTAGGAGTAGAAACCATGGAATGACGTGAGGTTTAGGAAGGAGAAATTATCGAGAGAGAGAAGAGGGTTAGGAATAGAAGAGAGAGGGATACAAGAAGGGGGGTTGTACCCTCCACAGTAGAATCCAGTAACACCTACCAAGCC